GTGACCACTCAGTGTACATATATTGTCTTCATCGCATAGCTAGGCATAGAATGTAGAATAGCAAATTATACCTTGCTTATATAGCAAGATTTTGTGTTTTATAATCATGAGTTTGTTTTACTTTAAATGTCTCGTACTATTTTAAAGGTCTCTAAATAATTTGTACAAACTCAAAATACAACATTTTTAAGCAGTTGAAAAACTTAAAAATCTTTAAGAACACGAAATAACAGGATTTATACAAAATCAAACAGTAACAGCTATAAGCACGTGAAGTACTTTCATAAAGACCGAAAGTATATTATTCAAAAACAAAGTGATGTTAGTATTGAAGTCATATTTACCTTTAAAATAAATTCCGAAAATACTTGGCTTATCTTATTTTGGATATTCGAGCAAAGCTACACAAAGGCTAATCTGCGCTAGCCATTCCTACTTTTGAACTGATAGACTAGATGGAAAGTAGCTAGTCAACAGTACCAGCTACTAAAATTAAAATGTTTAGATTTGACTGTCACTCTTATAACGCACCACGGTCCGACACCGCGGAAAACGATTTTACGGCAACGGAACACAAAACCTTCGATCCACAATCGGGCACACTAACCACGATGACACGCGCAGGCCCTCCTACATTACTTGATAACACCTATTAAATATGATGAAAAGTTAGATATGAATCCCAACTTATTTTTATTTACCAATTAATGTATTGGCGTTAGAGTGACAACTCAGAATTGTACGCGAGGAACCCCGATGAATAAATGCATTAAAGAAATATAATATATAAAACTCTAACAATTGCTTAATATTTAATACGAGTTTCAGTCTTTAATATATTCTGTCAGCCAAAAAGTTTGCATTTATAAAAACAAACCAAAGTCTATATCTTAAGCCTAAAATTTTAAAGCTCCTTTATTGTTACAAGTAATCCTGATAAAACAGGTAGCCTAGTATACCTTTAATTTTCCTACACTTTAAAAACAAATATAAAACTTCTTACTAAAAGAGTTAAAACGCTCGTTTCAAGTTTTTCATATTTTCTTAATGAAAATATGACGCACTATGTTAGTGTTATACACCAACAGCAAATACGCGTTGCTGATGTAAACCTGCTAGATTAACAGAGGAATGGAGAAAATAAGGGAGACCAATATTAAACCTTTACTTAACATGTTTCTATAAATGTGAGAGCTACTTTAGCACCGAAAATATGACAATTATTATTTCCTTTTTCTTACAACAATATTTAATTTCTATAGAAAACTTCTAAATGTGTACACGTAAGCGTTTCTTTGGTTATCTACTGACATGACTTTCTTGATAATGATATTACTTTTTTATACAATAACATTCATTCAGAATTGTTATACAAGTAGTAGCATTAAACGTTGCGTAAGCCAATGTAGTTTGGTGAGCATATATATATATATACTGTTATTACACCTTTCTATGTTTACCTAGTAGAGTATTTCGAACAAATTGTTTTCATCAGCCCTAGTGGTAGTAAACAAAAAACCCTGTAAAATAGAAATAAATATCATACGCCGTTTGATGTCATGTTTGAATAACTTTCAAGGAATTCTTGGTTCTAACTGATCCTTTGCCCTACAGTGGCACAGCGATATGTCTGCAGACTTACAACATTAGAATCCGGATTTCGTTACCCGTGGTGGGCAGAGCACAAATAGGCCTGGCATGGCCAGGTGGTTAGGGCGTTAGACTCGCAATCTGAAGGTCGCGGTTTGAATCCTCGTCCCACCAAATATGCTCGCCCTTTCAGCCGGGTGGGGGAGAGTGTTATAATGTGACCGTCAATCCCACTATTCGTTGGCATAAGAGTAGCACAAGAGTTAGTGGTGGGTGTTGATGACTAGCTGCCTTCCCTCTAGTCTTTCACTGCTGAATTAGGGACGGCTACCGCAGATAGCCCACGTGTAGTTTTGCGCAAAATTAAAAACAAACCAAATACTGATCCATTAGATGACATTATATTGTATGATAAAAATGACTAACACGTACTTTCGTTTCTCTAAAGATGTAAAAAATGCTGGGCTCAAGTCTTTGAAAGCACATTCTCGCTCTAAATTGGCAACAAACACGTTTAAAGAGGAGTAAGCGAATAAATTTCTTTCAAAAAGAGATCTCTCAGTGACTACGAATGAAATTTAAAGCAGAAGTTAAGAATCTCCCAACATCCAGGGCTTTGTGTGTTTTTTAATCAATTTGAATATCTGCGTTACAGTAAGATCAATAATCTTCAAGTTGTACATTATCAGCAGTATAGTTCTGAATGATCTAAATTACAGAAGTTAATGTTCTAAGTTACTATAATAACTGATTTTCGTTATTATGGTAAATAATCTATACTGGTAAATGATTTTCATCTTAGAGGTTAATAACATATATTATGTGCTAGTAGATGACTTATGTTATTGATCACTATATGTTGGTTATATAGACGTCAGTGATCTGTGATATCTAGATAAATAATCTGCCTCGTGTAATAATTAATGCCATATAGTGTAGTGTGGACTTTATTTTTTTGCTGTACGTTATTGTAATAAAGGGACGCGAACCTGGACCTGCAGATCCACAGTTAGACACGCTAGCCACTTGGCCACGATCATCCGTTTTCTGAATAAAGCATACGGTATAAGTGTAATGAAATACAATATTTCCATCAACACTAGATATGATAGTGTATAAGAATTTTCCTCATCTCACAAATCGAGATGATTTATAAATACAAAAAAAAAGTTCAACCATACAGGCTGACGAGGTCATGAATCATTAGCAACTAGTGCGTTACATTATGTGTTATTCCGTCTGCATTCATGGACAATACGTTTTGTGTGTCTTATAATAGAAAGTAACAGAGAAATATAAAAAAATCTAACTTACCCATCGATATCTGAACCTTGTTATCCACGTTATGGAATTGATTAGGATTAAACCTGTCATAGAATCGGCTTAACAATGACTCCAACGTTTAAATTACGAAGACTACATTATACCTCTCAAAGTCCAGAATAAATTTCTCGATAAATTGTTGAGAGTATTGGATGCGCGAGTTTTTAGAAGTTTATAATAGTTCGTTACTTAATGCAAATGTCACATGTATTTAGTTCGGTTCATGTTAAAAGGGTAACCATTGGTTACAGTTTTAATCCGATATCTGTGGTGTCTAAACACACACGTATTTATGTATGCACACGATGCAGCTGTTCGATGTGATGATTTTCTCTATTTCTTTCAACCATTTTTTTCTTCTTTTTGCTCATTTGATAGCCTCCTCTCGTCAAGTTGCTAGCGGCAAACATTTTACCATGTTCAGGTCAAGTTGGCAAGGAGCATAGCTGCTGAGTAATCCTGCCTTCTGCCCCATGCTTGTCCATCATGCCATCCTCAAGCTCCAAACTGGGTGAGGTCAGGAACGTGAAAGGCTAAAAGACCAAAGTTCCGAAAGAAAGAGAATGAAAAGGACCAGATGAATTCGTATACAGAACTCACAAGATGAAATGCTAATTCTGTTGCGCTTCTTAGAAACAAACATCAAAGTATCTGTAGCCTTGTCATTACTTCTACTTTGACTTCAAGCATTCAGTTAAGTACTACGACTTCCGGTGGGAGGTCCTAACTTCTAACTCTGGAGGCCATCCAGAAACACCCAATCCGTAGGAATACGTCGTTAACATGCCAACTTTCTACGTATTCAAAACATAAAGCTTCGGCAAGCCTAATTGGTTCTGAGAACACATCAAAGGAAGTCCTAGACAACTAAAAAACAAAAACAGACCTGTTATAACAGTACAGTTAGAGCGTTATTATTTCTGTTATGTTCTATCGAGGAAAAGAATCGCTGATATTTATTTTTTGAAACATTAAATAATTTAACTTTGAAGTTACAATACTTAGAAGTTATACGCATTGGTACAGAATTATAATGAACAACATTCTTGAAAAAAGATGCTTAGAATTTTACTAGCATGGTTAGAAATTGCTGTGCAACTAAATACAGTAGAACAGTTATTGTATATAACAGTTTTTAATTACGTTATACAGAAGTGGATGTTCTTTGTCTCACAGAGGTTTTGAAAATAAGTTTTCTACATTATTTGATGCTAGTGTACTTATTTCCTACCGAGGAATACAAACTATTTGTTTATAATACAGTTCCTACCATTCTACAGTCGTTTCACATAAGTATCCTAGATCACTCAAGGAATTTTTCGTATATTTTGTCATGGTTTTAAAAGACTACTACGCATATCACATCTTCTTCTTTTTTCGTAGTTTCTGTCGCAGAACTTTCTTACGTTACCAAATCAATACGACGAACAGAAACGATGTTCACATTACAAAGCTGAAACTTCTTCTGACACATAATGGTTTCGTTTTGCTGTGATGAAACTTGTGAAACATAATTATTTGGTTTTGCTTGCTAAAAGTTGTGACACATAATGTTTTCGTTTTCATGTGCTGAAACTTGTGGCATATAATGGTTTGGTTTTTCTAGGCTGAAACCTGTGACACACTATGTTTTTTGCTATGTTAAAAGTTATGGTACATAATGGTTTGATTTTGCTATGCTGAAACTTGTGACACACAATGTTTTTTGCTATGTTAAAAGTTATGGCACATAATCGTTTGATTTTATGTTTAAACTTGTGAAACATAATTGTTTGATTTTGCAATGTTGAAACTTGTGTCACAGAAGTTATTGTACGTAATCTGTTAACTCGTTATTATTTTTTAAACAATCTTTTAAAAGTTTCTAATTAAGTAAACACCGATCAGGATAATTAAAAGACAAAGGAAGTCCATTATTTGGAAATACTTTGCAGTTAAAGTATTTTAGCTCCTTTTGTATTTATGACAAAGCTACTACAGCTATATAAAAAAAAAAAAGGCCACAGCTTGGGTCCCATTTTCGCGGAAACGTGCTACAAACTTTAGGACGTGGGTGGGTTATAATAGTGACAGTAAGTGCTGTTGACTAGATGCCTTTCCTCAAATCTATCGGTTCAAAATTAGAGATGGCTAGTACAGATAGCCCTTGTGTAGTTGTGCGCGGATATCCGAAAAAACAACAACATGAAACTCAGTTATATTTCGCATGAGGTGCGTTTTTCACAGGCGATCTGCAAAGGCTTAAAGAGATATTGAGGATCATTCAGTTTCAACTAAACGTTTGTGTTCGTTTTTCTGCTAACCCGTTCCCGGAATATTCATGTAGAATAAAATACGGTCCATTTATGAGTGAGTAAATAGAAAGCTATCCATGTCACGTGAGCATTTGAAGTTAAAGCTGATGAAATATTATGTGTGACCTTTAGATAAAGCATAAGCATTACTTTGTCCAAGCCGACGTTTAGTAGATCAACAAAAAGAAGAAATATCATTTGATAATACCGAAATTAGTATTTAACTATTACATCCAAATCGTTTTTGTTCTTCGCTATTTTAGCTTTTGATTTTACAGGACATCATTAAATAATCTTACAGTTGGGTGATATCATCCATAATCCAAAGGTTTAAGTCCAATAAATTACTCATCACATAATTAACAGATAGATAGATAAAAATTGCAAATGAAAACTCGTATTTTCTTATCTTCCCAATATGATATTAATTAAACACTCATTACAATGTACGGTGCACTCATTTTCATTAATGTGATCTCATGTATAACTTAAACCCGTTTATAATACACGTAAAAAGAGGGTGCCAAATCCTTTGAGAAGACACATGATGAAACTTTATTCTTGCAATGATTACCCAAACCATTCACTGAACAGAAGCCATTATCGAATAGCAAATGATGTTTTTACAACAGAAGCCATTATCGGATAGCAAATGATGTTTTTACAACAGAAGCCATTATCGGATAGCAAATGATGTTTTTACAACAGAAACCATTATCGGATAGCAAATGATGTTTTTACAACAGAAGCCATTATCGGATAGCAAATGATGTTTTTCGAATAGCAAATGATGTTTTTACTACACGTATTTCAATATTTTAAGACAAGTAGAACTTTTAAACTCAACATAAACACACAGAAAGAGATACTTCGACTATAACAACAGAAGCCATTATCGGATAGCAAATGACGTTTTACAACAGAAGCCATTATGGTTTAATAGTCTTTTTTTTTAGTGATGCTTTTTTTCTCTTAAACATAAGAAATCAGTGATTAAACAGTATATTAATTATTTAATTTCTGTAGTGCATATTGGTGTATACAAGACATATTAATACTGGAAATAAACAACCTTATAACATCAAAATGTTGTTTTTATTTAATTAAATCTTTATTTAAACTATATGAAGCTTTGTACTGTCAGTTTCAGTTTGTGTTTTAGTGAATGCTCCTGAAGAAGCTGTAAAGCAAAACGTTGAGTGTCTAATTAAATAAAAACAAAATTTTTTTGTTATAAGGCCGTTTATTTCTGGTATTAGTATATTAATTAACTCAAAACTGAAGTTAAATAGACAGTTCTTTAAGAAACCAGGGGGGGAAATAGATTTAGTAATTCCATTGACCCACAAAATTGAACAAGTTTAACTTGTGCATTAGTCTAAAAACAGAAAATCAAAAATTAATACACAAACCTCCTTAGAAGGTTAGACCTTACTAGACTAAACATTCCAATGTTGAACCTATCTACTCGCATTTTAAATTAACGCCTGGATACAATAAGTTAATACAGAAAGCTTACAGAAGACTACGCCTTACAAGATTAAACTGGTCAAAGCGTAACTTGTGTTCCCTGTTTTGAATAAGCGCCTAGAAAAAGAAAAAATAATTAATACAGAAATCCTTCGGATAGTTAGACTAAACAATAGTAGCTAAGCTCTTAAAACTTTAAGGTTTAGTTGAAAAGTCAACAAAGTTTATGAATATGAAAATGTTTGTTTAGTACAATGAAACAGTTGTTCTGTAATATAATTAAGCAAAATAGAACCTTTGTTTATATTTTTAAAAAGTAATGTACAAAGCAATATTTCTTTTTGAGATTTATGAGTTTGTCCTTAATATATATATGGAGCTGAAGAGTATATATTTAAGTATTATAAACATATATATGGAGTTGAAGAGCGTATCGTTAATTTTTGCAGAAAGATATACAAAGTTGTATAGTGTACCACCATGTTTTATAAAAGTAAACAAAGTTGAAGAATACATCATCATATTTAATTTTATAGAAATATTTAAAACCGAAGAGTGTACCACCATGTTTTATAAAAAATAGACACACTTGTTTTATGAGAATAGAGAAAATTGAAGAATACATCAAGTTTTGTTTTATAACAATCTATAAAACAAAAGAGCGCATTACCATGTTTTTTCGAAAACAGACAAATTGAAAAATACATCAGCATGTTTTGTTTTATGAAAATAAAAACACAAAACATTGTACCAGCATGTTTTATAAAAAGACAAAAGCGAAGAATACACCATCATGG